AGAAGGGAGGGGGAAAAATTATTTGTACATATGTGTGTGCTCATTTGCTCAGTCGTGTCCGACTCTCTGCTATCCCATGGACTGCAGCCCACCAGGCTCCTCTGTCCATGGAATTCTCCTGGCAAGAATACTGGAGTGGGTTGCCATGCTCTTCTCCAATTTGTACATATAATAAAAAGCTTTATGAAGTGATACTTTAATACGGTCATTAGCTATTACTTAATTGGCGTGTGAGTTTATTTTTAAAGAGCGCCTTTTATAGAATCAGCACTGAAATTCTTTTAAGAAAACTTTTTCCGTAACACACTCAACCGTCTAAAGAGCTCATCATACATGTTGCTGTAACGATTTGGTGGGTTCCTACCTCTGAGGAGGAATAAAAGGTAGACAGAAGATTAAAATGAGTCCTATTTCAGCGTAAAGAAAAGTTGCAACTGCCGCCCATTGAAGTGTCATTGTTTTTCTTCACACCTAAATAGAGAAACACTTAATTTACTCTGTAGCCTTTCAAAGAAAATTCGGTTTAAGGAGAGGCCCTTGGGGCGCAAGGCTTCCGGCCTGGAGGTGGCCTGGAGGTTGCCGGGGTCCGACACTCCCCTAAAAGGGAGGCGCCCGGCAGGGACCCGGGGAGGGGAAGGGAAAGGGGAGAAAGGAGGAAGCTGGTCGAGAGTGGGCCCAGAGGCCCGGGTGGGCACCTCCCCGGCGAGCCTTACGGAACCGGCCAGGCGGCACCGCGGTCGTGCTTTCGGTCCAGGTTCACGGCGTCAGCAGCCCAACGCCACCCTCCGCTAACGCTCGAGCCCGGTCCCCACCCCCCCACGCCCGCTCCCGCTTCGCGAACGCGCCGAGGGAAGGGCCGGCCCCGCGGACCAGCCGCGGCGATAGCAGCGCGACCCCGCGCCCCACGCCGCCTGGAGGCCCGCGGGGCTCTCGCCCAGCCTTACCCCGCCTGCGGCCGCCCGGCTCCCCGCGCTGCTCCGCAGCCGCCGACGCGCGGGACGTCACACGCCGCGGGGTGGGGAGGGGAGCGGGCCCTCCCCTCCCCCCACCGTCACCCCCGGACCCTCCCGGGCTCCGGCCTCGGGGGCGGGGCGGGGCCCGGGCCCCGCCGACCGGCCGGGCGGTGCGAACGCGCTGACGAGCGTTAACTGTTTCTAATTGGGTGGTGGAGTCACTGGGTGACGAAGACTCTTCGATCTGGTGCTTAGAGGCTCCCAAGGGCAAGGTCTTCTGGGGAGCCAGCTTAGCATTTCTAATAAAGGGTGGTTTGGGTGGGAGGCGTGCGGTTAACCGACGTTCTGAAAGAGCGTGTGGGGTCCGGCGAGAGACGGTGGCGTCGGGGCGGGCGGGCTGGACAGGGTGCTGCCCATCTAGTGAACGTGGTTAAAACACTCCTTCCTGGTCTGTATTCACCGTGGACAGTTTCGTTGGCCGGAACAAGCTAGAAGTTACATATTAGGAAGGCCAGGATCCGGTGATTGTGCCGAATTCTCTGAAAATGTAGAATAGGTAGCGTCCAACATCTCGTGTAAGGGTTTCCCCTTTTGGCCATGGGCTCGGAAGAGGAAATACACTTTAGGGATTGGGGACTAACTGGAAAGGAGAACAACGTAGGTATGGGTACATTTTTTCAATTACTCTTTTCCGGGTATTCAAATTACGTGAATACACTCAAATTATGACAGTTTTTTTCCCCCTCAATATTAGCAACATATTAGAAATGCACATCAAAGTATTCTCCTGTAGAGGATTATTTTGGGAACATTAAATAAATGGTAAAAATAAGAGGTAGTTATTGAATATAAAAACACATGTAAGTCAGTGTTTTCTCTTTGTCACAAATATACTTGATTACATAGAAAACAAGACAACATAGGTTAACCATAAGGGACTTAGAAAAAAAAAATTAAGGCGTTTAGCACTCCTTGCCCTTTCCACTGGCTCCTTGGAAACGCTGTGCACCTTACTCTCATTAGGCCATTGTCCTCACAACACATGAAATTCACCTCAGAGTTAACCACCTTACTCTCATTAGGCCATTGTCCTCACAACACATGAAATTCACCTCAGAGTTAACCACCTTACTCTCATTAGGCCATTGTCCTCACAACACATGAAATTCACCTCAGAGTTAACCACCTTACTCTCATTAGGCCATTGTCCTCACAACACATGAAATTCACCTCAGAGTTAACCACCTTACTCTCATTAGGCCATTGTCCTCACAACACATGAAATTCACCTCAGAGTTAATCACCTTACTCTCATTAGGCCATTGTCCTCACAACACATGAAATTCACCTCAGAGTTAACCACCTTACTCTCATTAGGCCATTGTCCTCACAACACATGAAATTCACCTCAGAGTTAACCACCTTACTCTCATTAGGCCATTGTCCTCACAACACATGAAATTCACCTCAGAGTTAACCACCTTACTCTCATTAGGCCATTGTCCTCACAACACATGAAATTCACCTCAGAGTTAACCACCTTACTCTCATTAGGCCATGTCCTCACAACACATGAAATTCACCTCAGAGTTAATTAACAAATTTACAAATGACTACGTTTTGACTGTAACTCCCTATGTGCTAATATGGTACTCATATTTAATGAAAAGCAGTTATCTTTAAAAATCCATTAACTGAAAAATGAAAGCACAGTGTACCTTAAAAAGCATTACAACAGGGTGCTTATGTTAAAATGGATTTCTTATATTCCCAAATTCGTGAATTAACTAGTTCTAGATAACTGCTTAGAAGTTTTTATGTTGGTGATATAGACCACTATCTTTTTTTTTTTTTTCCATTTATTTTTATTAGTTGGAGGCTAATTACTTTACATCATTGCAGTGGTTTTTGTCATACATTGAAATGAATTAGCCATGGATTTACATGTATTCCCCATCCCGGTCCCCCCTCCCACCTCCCTCTCCACCTGATCCCTCTGGGTTTTCCCAGTGCACCAGGCCCGAGCACTTGTCTCATGCATCCAACCTGGGCTGGTGATCTGTTTCACCCTAGATAATATACATGTTTCGATGCTGTTCATAGACCACTATCTTAATTATAGAACTGTTTTTAACAAATCGATGTAATTCTTGCAGTAGCACCTTCACCACCAATAAAATTCCGTTAGCAGTATCTCTAAACCATGGAACTTTTTAAGAAATTTTTTCAATTTTTTGACTGTGCCATGCCACTTGGCTTGTGACAATCTTAGTTCCCTGACCAGAAGACTGAACCAGCACCCTTCATAGTGAAAGTCAGGAAAACTAACCACTGTACTGCCAGGGTATTCCCTAAGCCATGGAACTCTAAAGTTAAAATTATCCTCAACTGCTGGGAGGCATAAAAATAACATTACCAAAAATGGTATGAAAATTAGATTTTTAAATAAAACCTGCTTACTCTTCTCCAGGAAGTAATATTTCAAGTACACAGTTGTCTTTGGTATCTGTGGGGCATTGGTTCTAGGACTCTTGCAGGTGCCAAAATTTGTGGATGCTTAAGTCCCATACAGAAAATGTTTTAGCACCAAGGGCCAACTGTGTAATTATCTCTAGATTACTGACCAAATTTTTATATTTAAGATGTAGGAGATAGAAATTAATAGTATCATTTAAATACAGGACTGATGCTGAAACTCCCGATACTTTGGCCACCTGATGTAAAGAACCAACTCATTGGAAAAGACCCTGATGCTGGGAAAGATTGAAGGTGATAGAAGGGGACGACAGAGGATGGGAAGGTTGGATGGCATCACTAATGTGATGGACATAAGTTTGAGTAGGCTTTGGGAGTTGGTGATGGACAGGGAAGCCTGGCATGCTGCAATCCATGGGGTCACAAAGAGTCAGACCCGACTGAGCAACTGAACTGAACTGATATTTACCAAGCTCTCAATCTTCTAAAAATTTAGAAGGCTTGAAATATAATAAATGTCATTTAAAGAATTTCACAGAATCTTCACTTTTTTTAATAAAAATTTTTTATTTTTGATGTACATCATTTGGGGTTTTAATGGCTGTGAGGCATGTGAGACCTTAGCTCCCAATCAGGGATTGAACCTGCACCTCCATGCACTGGAAGGAGGGGTATTAACTACTGGATCACCAGGGAAGTCTCCCTTAGTTTTAAATTACAGAAAACATCACATCTAATTAATTTGTTACATACAATTTAAAACAAATACCTTGAGGTGTGTAATTCATGAATTAGGAAGTAGCAGTTTAATTTTCCTGGAGAAGGAAATGGCAACCCATTCCAGTACTCTTGCCTGGAAAATCCCATGGATGGAGGAGCCTGGTAGGCCACAGTCCATGGGGTCTCAAAGAATTGGATGCGACTGAGCAACTTCACTTTCACTTTTCACTTTCATGTATTGGAGAAGGAAATGGCAACTCACTCCAGTGTTCTTGCCTGGAGAATCCCAGGGACGGGGGTGCCTGGTGGGCTGCTGTCTATGGGGTCGCACAGAGTCGGACACGACTGAAGCGACTTAGCAGCAGCAGTTTAATTTTCCAATCTAAACTTTGAATTTAAGCCCTGAAAGCAATTCTATACAGAATTTTTTTCCTTTTCATTTCATATAGATGTTGGCATTTGCTGTCTCACTTTTCTGCACTGATTTTCATTTAAAACACTTCATGTTAACTAACAGATACCATATGAGCCATATTTTTAGTATTAAAAGTTTTATTTATTTAAAAATGTTAAAAATGTGATTCCTTTAGGAAAAAAATTCTCACATTTTAATTCATAATAGGATACAGAGTAAGGTCTGTCAATGTTTGAAACACCTAGGATCTTTTTTAAAATTAAAATTTGGGTCTACCCTAGAGATCTACTGAACCAGAATCTCTGAGGATGTGGTCCAGGAGTGATTTTTAAAAATTCTGTTGGAGCGTTGTTTTTATACTAATGTTTTAGAGTCACTGATTCAAAGTAAAAACCAAGATGTGACCTTTGATTGTTTCACTGCAGATAGAAAATAATTCAGGAAGTCCGGTCAATCCCATAATGGTCTGTAAGATAATCTAAGACTGCTGATGTGCTTGACAAAGCATTAAATATTTTTTTTTCCTGCCTTGAAGTTATCTTTTCCATCATATACATTAAATGTTGATGGAAACACATATAAGGAGTTCCAAGTTCAAGAGCAATGTCAACCCAGTCCCAGATGCATTTCAGTGGGGTTTCCTCATATCCAGCAAACATGGCTGGGTTTGCTAAGAGTCCTCTTGCAACCATCACACCTACAAATTAAAACATATTTCATTTGTCCACACATTAAGAACTCATGGTTATGGGGTCAAACTCAATGAAACAAACTGAGAATATTAAAAAATAACTTATTACAAGATTTTATAATGCCCTTAGTCTCATTAAACAATTCATTTTTATACTTTTTATAAACAATCAAGTATAAATGAACTTGTAAGACTTTTTTTTTTTAACATTTTAAATACTTCTATATTAAAAATTAGTTTTGGGCTTTTTTTCAGGGTAAACCTGGATTGTTATAAATTGGATTTGCTTGAAGTTAAGTTTATTTGCATTCTCTTATCTAGCAATAGGTATCACAGGGCTTGATATGCCAAAGTTGAGGCGGATAATGAAACTGCATAGTAGTCTGGGGTTTCTTTGGCTCCTATAGCCACTCTTCCATTCCCAAATAATTTCTATTCTGTAGGCTCTACTGGTCACTCAATGGATGAGATGGTGGCAGAGAAGTAACTGAACTAAATCACCCCAATTAAAATAATCTGTTGCTCCTAAGCCAAAGGATTAACATTTTAGTAATTTGCTTAGCTTAAATTGGTACAACAGGAAAATACGGCTCCATTTGAAAGAAAAATAATGAAAATTCCATTAACATTACTCTCCCACCCCCATTTTTTAATTTTTCTAATTAAAAAACAAAAAAGTCAAAGGACTTATTTCTTACCATCTGTCCCAGTAACATGCCACACATTTTCTGCTTCTTTTAAGCTTCTGATGTCTCCGTTAGCAACTATAGGTATAGACATACTTTCCTTAATTATTTTAATGGCCTCATAGTGAACTGGTTGATGTCTTTCCTCAACAGTTCTTCCATGGACTGTAATCCAGGAAACTCCTGTTGCTTCAGCCTTTCGACAGAGATCTACAGTTCTTGTAAGGTCATCATGGATCCTATAATTTCAAAATCACATCTATCTTTTTACAGTATACAAATCTTAATGCTAATATCAATAAACTAAACAGAACATTATTTCATCTACTTCATTATTTAGTTTAGCTGTGTGGTTCATATTATCACCACATACCACTATCAGTAAAGTTTTGTTCAGATTATCAGTTCCCAGTCAAGATCTTGAATTTAGCTATTTCACTGACAAAAACCTGTTACCTAGTGTGGCTCTTTTTTGGCTTTGGTAACTGAAAGATTCATCAAAGTACTATCACAGATGCACTGAAAGTTGCTATTGTAATATGTGCATGCTCCAATCCATAAGTGGGAGAATTGTAATAATTTATCAAAATATGTTTTTAACCTGTCACCAAAAAACTGTAATTTTTAGTTTTCGATGTGAAATTTTAGTGCAAATATTATTCCTATTTTCCACTTTTGGTATCAGAAATGTTTCTTAGCATTAGTTATTTCAATAGTATGTGGAAAAAGCTGTTTCTTTTGGGAGTGAGTTTTTTAATAATAAAGGGATATTTTAATTTTTGTTAAATATGGAGAAATTGTTTTGAATTATAAATTAAAATTATGGTATCTATTAATTCACTAAGCATCTTTGTTTCAACATTTTCATATTCTAGATGCCTATGTGGGGCTTCTCAGGTGGCTCAGTAGCTAAAGAATCCACCTGGCAATGCAGGAGACATAGGAGACGCAGGTTCAATCCCTGGGTTGGGAAGAGCCCCTGGAGAAGGGCATGGCAACCCACTCCAGTATTCTTGCCTGGAGAATCCCATGGAGGAGGAGCCTGGTGGGCTACAGTCCATGAGGTCACAGAGTCATACATGACTGAAGCAACTGAGCATGCACGCAGATGCCTGCATACTAAAAGGAGACATCTGCACATCTCCAGAAAAAAGGAATATTCTTTTATTTCCTGAGTAATGGACGGACTATCATACCAAGAGATTAAAATATTACCTTTACCTTATTTTAATAGATACTGAAAATCGGGGGTTTTCCACTTGATTTCTTACTTGTTTCACCATATCTCGAACAAGCTCTGGCTTGTTTATTAAGCAAGCTCCATAACCTTCTGCCAATGCCCACCTTCATAAAGTAAACATAACAACAAACAAATGGTAAACAACTGGAAGAGTAGATGCAATTCTAAAAGCACAGTAAGTGCATTTATCTATTTCTCTACTGAGCAATCTGGAATGGAATCGTACTTTTTAAAATTCATAGATCCAACATTTCTAAGTGTATCAAGATTAGGAAAACATGTTCCCAGATCAAGAAGTATTTAGGGGAAATGGCTTTCACTGGCAAGCGAGAAAATTAAAGTTCATTCAACCAAAACAGATTTAAGTATTTGTAATTAATTGTAATTACTTCAGAATTTTTCAACTCCAAATGTGATGTTTATTATACATAACAAGAAGTTTTATTAATCTTAAGAGTAGAAAGATATTTTTGGCTTACAGCATTCCAACAGCACTAAACAGCTTATTGAACTCTACTAATGAGTATACAAACATGTCTAATCTGATTTGGATTATGCTATATGTAAAACCTTGACTTCATTCTTTGAACATATTTTGAATTATTGACAGATAATCTAGTATGGTGCCAAGAGGTAAGGATATTATCATCAAATTAAGCACATTCTATCAACACCCAGTTACTCAGACTCAACCAAGTAACTGTAGTATAAGGAGAGAAGGTAATTACAAGAAGGTATTCTTATAACTTAGATTAAGTAAGAGAAAACAAGTGGTGATCTCTGAAATCATGGAATCACAGTGCTTGAAGTATGTCTAACATAGCAGTAAAAATACATTTTAGGGGTTGTTATAAACATCAGAGTCTCACATAACTACTTATGGATGAGGTTCAAGGCAGATCCACACATAAAAAAATTCTAGTGGTGAGGTGAGACAAAAACTTGTCAAGGGTCTACACACTGTTGCAGCCATCAAAAAATATCTTTGCATGTGTGTTTCTAAATAATATTTCCTTAGTTTTTCTCGCTTCTTAGAGGCCAAGTTCTTTATGTCTATTTTCCTTTTCAGTTTTTGGAATACCAGAATGATAGTTTACCATGTTCACTAGTTTTTCCTAATCTTTTGAAAATTCTTCCAACTTCTTTGAGCTTTACCTCTGAGGGCAACCACAGTTAATGTCTATTCCATTCGCATAAGGACAGACTATACGAGCAGCATCAGATAAAAGTCTTGCATCATTAGCAGCAAACTGAACAATCAATGGGCAATCACCTGATAAAATGAACAGCTCAACATTAAAATTCACAAACACACACACACATGATATAACAAATTTTAATGTTTGTACAGGATAAAATCCTATTTTTAGACTAAGAAGCATGTGTTCAAACAAGATAGCATTAAAATAATTTAAAATATTTTAAATTATTACATGCACTTTAGACTTGGTACAAATTCAAACAGTACAAAATTTGATAAAATGAAAAGTATAACACTTTTGCCAAACAGACTCCTTTCCTAAAGGTGAGATTATACTGCATTCTAAAACATTACGAACACCTGTAAAATTTAAGCAACTGTTAACATTCTAAATACATTGCTATCCCTATGGTGTTTTCCCCTGATGTACCTGGGATCTATACACAGACCTATTTTCCTCTTTTTAGTGCATATTCCACTATGATGGGTAAACTACAGACTGTTTTTTATTTGAGACTCTTGCAAATAATGTTGCAATGAAGATACTCTTACATACATATTTTTGTGAGTATATTCATGAAGTAAATTCCTAGGAGTATAACTGCTGGGCAGGTATTAACATTTTGAAAGATACTACAAAATTTTCTTAGAAGAGTTTACTGATACACATATACGCCAATATGGATGACAGTTTTGGTTTCGTTACAACTTATCCTACACTGTATATGTAACAACATTTTTTATTTGTAGCCTTTCTCTCCATACTTTTTGCAGAGTTCTCTATGTGCAATTTTTCTTTTGGTTGCTCCCTTTTTATTATTTAAATTTAAAAATAAAACGATTAGTTCTGCTTTCTATCATAAACATCAAAATATTCTATTTTCTCCAGTTTTTAGTTTGTCTTTGAGTATTATCTGTGCCCTTTTCTTATATATAACAGTCTAAATTTTAATATAGCCAAATGTATCAGAACATTCCTAGGTTTTAAAGGACATATTTTCCTCATCTTTGGACATTATACATTTTGAATAGATGTATTTTGACTTTTCTAAAGGTTTTTTTAAAGATTACCTGTATGAGATTTACTGGGTTTTTACCAAAATGCAGATTTCTTGCTATGGCTCTAGTTCCACTGACTCAGAATTTCTATGGCAATCTACTTTACAGGATTATCAGAGGAATGGAGAATAAGTTTTTTCCTGAGGATACAGGTAGGGTTCCTTCTGCTTCGTAACTCAAGAAAGTTATAAAATTTCAATTTAACAACCATTTATCGGTCAAATATATTTTCAACGCTGGGTTAGAAGCTGAGGATACAAATCCACAAGAAAAAAATTCCAACCCTCAAGAAGCCCATTGTCTGGGGGAGAGATAGGCACGTAAGGAGGAAATCACAGTACAGTACGATTAAGTACAAGGAAAAGCCTGTGCTTGGGAAACAGACATGAATGGAGCATGATTAGGAAAGCTCCTCAGTCACAACTTTAGAGCATTAAGACGTATGAAGGGTCCTTTCCCAGAGAGACAGGGCTAAGGGGACAGGCCTGACTAAGAAGGATGCTGTAGGTGGAGCATGTGAGACATCAGGGCATGTTCAGGGACTTCAAATAACTTAGTATTTTGAAGAATAAAGTCAGTGGGCCATGGAGAAAAACTGATGGAAGATAAGGGTGCAGAACATGTGTTCAGTGTTCTGGATCATGAAGAACTTTCTATATTGTCTACACGTGCGGGAATTTTCCTCTTTAGGTCAGTGGCTCTCAATCTTTACCAAGCTCAGAAGCACCTGAAGGGCTTTTAAAAACACAGATTGCTTGTGACATACCGAGTTTCTGATTAAGCAGGCTTGGAGTGGAGTCTGGAATTTCCATTTCTAATGAATTTTCAGATAATGCTGATGCTATCTGGTCTGGGAAATCACACTTTGAGAACCACTGCTTTAGGTGATGAGAGGTCTAAGGAGGATCTTGAGTTAGGGAAAAGAAGTGATCAAATTTAAGTTCCAGAGAGATCACTTGGAGCTGTCTGCAGGACAGTTTGGGATGGGATAAGGCTGGCGGCAGTGAGATAGGAATCTGCCAGATGAGAAAATGGGGGCCTGAATGGAGGCTGACTGACACTTTGATAAATTATTCATAGTTTACAAGGCATTGAGGAAAAGCACATTGTAAAAAACTTATTAAAAATTTTACAGAAAACTGAAAGACTTTAAAATAAACTCTCCGAATTAATTCTGTTGGCTGATTAGACAAGAGTGTTGAGGTTTTTGTTGTTGTTGTTTTGTTTTTTAAGTTTTACAAAGACAGCAAACTCTGGCTTTCACATACCTTGATTTGTTGTAAATTCACTGTCTCTGGCTTTTGCAGATCTGACAAAATCAGCAGCAACTATCATTGGTGTGTAGCACAGATCACAATCATATTTTCTGACTAGTGTTCTAAAAGACAACCTGTGAGCATATAAAATTTTAATTAGGCATTCAGAAAGCATGATAACCCTATCTTCTTCAGAGTTTAGTTATTCATTAAATATTTATTAAAGTTCTGCTACAGAAAGATGCAGTAGATGTACTCTTCCTATTCCTCCTGCTTAGTGTAACTAAAAACTCTGGATATTATACACAAAACAAACATAAGCAAACTCTGAAAGGGGCAGAGAAGAGAGCAGACAGGCTAGTGACCTTGGGCAGGACCTAAGGAATGACAGTGGTGAGTTCTGCGAGTTTTGTTTTTCCCTCAAATATCCTAGGTTTGAAACTGAAGAAGCTGGCAACCTGGAAACAGCAATGGATGCAGACAGAAACAGTCCCAGCAAAAGCCTGCTCATTCTACCCAAGGGCCAAGAAGGGGGCAGCCGAGCAAGCTTTTAGATAATAACGACTCGACTCCAGCACAACACCAGAGAAAAATCTGTGGCCTGCACCTCCACAAGCAAAGCTCGAGTGGGGAGCCTGGACTTCTAGCCTTCCAAAGCTGACACAAAGTTCTCTAACGCCCATCCCACGGTGGTGTTAGAGAATGCCAGGTGGGGAACTGGGACTTTAATTCTTGCTGGCTAGAAACAAGGAGGCTATCAGTGGAGACCAAGTGGGGGGCCTGGAATTCTACACCAACAGTGCAGCAGCAAGGCACCCCTCTCCCTCACCCCAGGAACAGTGTCAGAGAATGCTTAGTGAAGAGCCAGACCTTTCATCATTGCTCAGCAGTTACCAGGCCACCCCCTGCATGGGGAGCTGGAACTCTTAGCCCCTGAGCGGTAATGAGGAGCCTTATGCCCCTGGGGTGTCAAAGGAGACCAAGTGGAAAACCTAGACTTTACCTCTACCTGAGCGTAATGAGGTGGTGCTTTCTCATCCTTCCCCTGCTGTGGTGGTATCAGAAAAAGCTAGTTAGAGCAGAACTTTCAATATTAGAATCAAGCACTGTAATCCACCGTATTAACAGGCTAAAGAAAAAAAATCACATGACTGTATCAACTGATGCAGAAAAAGCACTTGACAAAACAGCATTCAGGATTAAAAACTAAGACCTCCCAGAAAAACAGGAATAGAAGGAACTTTCTCAACTTGATGAGGAACATCCACAAAAAATTCTGCTGCTGCTACTGCTGAGTAGCTTCAGTCGTGTCTGACTCTGTGTGACCCCACAGATGGCAGCCCACCAGGCTCCCCCATCCCTGGGATTCTCCAGGCAAGAACACTGGAGTGGGTTGCCATTTCCTTCTCCAATGCATGAAAGTGAAACGTGAAAGTGAGGTTGCTCAATCGTGTCCAACTCTTAGCGACCCTATGGATTGCAGCCTACCAGGCTCCTCTGTCCATGGGATTTTCCAGGCAAGAGTACTGGAGTGGGGTGCCATTGCCTTCTCCGAAAAAATTCTACACTTCATATTATACTTAAAGGTGAAAGAATAGCCCCCCCCCAGATTAAGAACAAGGGAAAGATGTCTGCTCTCATCATTCTTATTCAGCACAGTGTTGGAACTTTAGTCAGTGCAATGAGGCATGAAAATGAAATAAAAGGCATCAGATGGAAAGGAAGAAGTAAAACTATCTCTATTTGTAAGTGACATAACTGTCTACTTAGATAATCCTAAGGAATTTATAAGAGGAACCTCCTAGAAGCAATAAGTAAACATAGCAAAGTAACAGAATCTAAGAATAAAACACAAAAAGCAATTTTACTTCTATATACCAGCAATGAACAAATGAACACCAAAATTAAAAGTATAATAACTGAGTGTAAGCCTTACAAAATATGGACAGAATTTGAATGCTGAAAACTATACAACATTGATGAAGGAAGTCAAAGAAGATCTAAATAAATGGAGAGATACTGTGTTCATAAGGAGATTCAATGCAACAAGGAATTCAATTCTCCCCAAATTGATATGCATATTTAATACAATTCTTATGAAAATTCCACTAAGATTTTTTTTGTAGGTAGAGAAAAGATCATCCTAAAATCATTTGGAAAGGCAAAGGAACTAGCTAAACCAATTTTGAAAAAGAAAAGTGGGATTTATCAGATTACTTAATTTCAAGACTTATTACAATAAACTGTAGAAAATTCTTCAAGAGATGGGAATACCAGACCACCTGACTTGAGAAACCTGTATGCAGGTCAGGAAGCACCAGTTAGAACTGGACATGGAACAACAGACTGGTTCCAAATAGGGAAAGGAGTACATCAAGTCTGTATATTGTCACCCTGCTTATTTAACTTATAAGCAGAGTACATCATGAGGAATGCTGGGCTGGAGGAAGCACAGGCTAGAATCAAGATTGCCTGGAGAAATATCAATAACCTCAGATATGCAGATGACACCACCCTTATGGCAGAAAGTGAAGAGGAACTAAAAAGCCTCTTGATGAAAGTGAAAGAGGAGAGTGAAAAAGTTGGCTTAAAGTTCAACATTCAGAAAACTAAGATCATGGCATCCAGTCCCATCACGTCATGACAAATAGATGGGGAAACGGTGGCTGACTTTATTTTTTGGGGCTCCCAAATCACTGCAGATGGTGACTGCAGCCATGAAATTAAAAGACGCTTACTCCTTGGAAGGAAAGTTATGACCAACCTAGACAGCATATTAAAAAGCAGAGACATTACTTTGTCAACAAAGGTCTGTCTAGTCAAGGCTATGGTTTTTCCAGTAGTCGTGTATGGATGTGAGAGTTGCACTATGAAGAAAGCTGAGCACCAAAGAATTGATGCTTTTGAACTGTGGTGTTGGAGAAGACACTTGAGAGTCCCTTGGACTGCAAGGAGATCCAATCAGTCCATCCTAAAGGAGATCAGTCCTGGGTGTTCATTGGAAGGACTGATATTGAAGCTGAAACTCCAATACTTCGGCCACCTGATGTGAAGAGTTGACTCATTTGAAAAGACTGATGCTGGGAAAGACTGAGGGCAGGAGGAGAAGGGAACCACAGAGGATGAGATGGTGGGATGGCATCACTGACACAATGCACATGGGTTTGTGTGGACTCCAGGACTTGGTGATGGACAGGGAGGCCTGGCGTGCTGCAGTTCATGGGCTTGCAAAGAGTTGGACATGACTGAGCAACTGAACTGAACTGAACTGACAGTAATCAAGACTGTGTGGTACTGGTAGAGGGACACGTAGATCAATAGACCAGAGAGTGCAGAAAAAGAACCATATAAACATGCTCAGCTGAGGTTTGATAAAGATGCAAAAGTAATTCAATAATGGAAAGACAGCCTTTTCAACAAATGGTGCTGGAATAGACAACTGTCAGCAAAAAACAATAAACCAACCAACCTGAGCCTAAGTCTCACACTTACATAGAAATGAGGAATTATGGACTTAAATGTAAAACAGAAACTAGAAGACTTTAAGAAAAAAAAAGTAGGACAGAATCTTTAATATCTACAGCTACATAAAGACTTCTTATACTTGAAAACAAAAGCACAATCTGCAAAGGAAATATGGATAAGATGGATTTCATCATTAAGTAAAAACTTTTGCTCTGCAAAAGACATGGCAAGAGAATGGAAAAACAAGCTACATGCCAGGGGAACACGTATGTGAGCCATCTAGCTGACAAAAGGTCTGTCTATAACATATAACTGCTACTGCTAAGTCACTTCAGTCGTGTCCGATTCTGTGCGACCCCATCCCTGGGATTCTCCAGGCAAGAACACTGGGGTGGGTTGCCATTTCCTTCTCCAATGCATAAAAGTGAAAAGTGAAAGCGAAGTCGCTCATAAAGGGCTCTTAAAACTCAAGAGCAAGCAAAACTGGGACAACAAAAAAACCAAACAATCTTGATTAAAAAATGGGCAAAGGGTTTGAAGAGATTTCTCCAAAGAAGATACCCAAATGGCCAATGAGCACAGGAAAAGATGTTTAACATCACTAAAAAGATACAAATAAAAACCACAATGAGATAATTCACATTCATTAGGATGGCTATTAAAACAAAAACAACCCCAAGAAACAGTAAGTGTTGATGAGAATGCTGAGAAACTGAAACTCCTATACACTGCTGGTAGGAATGTAAAATGGTGTAGGTACTATAGTAAACAGAAGGGCAATGCCACAAAAATTAAAAACAGAATTGCCACATATCTAGCAATTCCACTTCTGGGCAAATACCCCAAAGAACAAAAAGTAAGGTCTCAAAAAGATATTTATATATACATGTTCATAGAAACATTATTCCCAAGAGTCAAAAGATGGAAGCTAACTCAAGCTGGGCTGAATGAATGAATGGATAAACAAAATGTAATATATACACACAATGGAATATTATTCATTCTTAAAAAGGAGGAAATTCTGATACATGGTACACATGAGTAAACCTTGAGGATTAGGCTCAGTGAAATAAGCCAGTCTTAAAAAGACAAATACTGTGACCACTTAGATCATACACATGCCAAGCAGGTAACAGCATCAGGACTCAAGTCTGTACCCTAGGCCCAAAGCTAGGCATTTGAAGATCCATGTGGTGGGGTGGTCTTACTTTTTAAAAAGTCAGAGCATAAAAAGGAAATCAAACCTAAGCTCATTAACCATTTAACAACACTTACTTTGAATACCGCACCATTGGGGCACAGACTTTGACCAGTTGCCCAGAATGAAACATTTCTATTGGATCTTTTTTTCTTTCTTGACATGTTGTAGTTTGTATGCAGTCACTCTTCATGAAAACAGATTTGTTTCAAATCTGAAAAAGACAATTAGTTTGCATGGAGGAAGGCACTTTCACTGGAATCCCATCACTCTTACAATTTCAACCGCCAAGAACAGGAATTTTTCATTAGGGTTTGTAGGCTTAGGGATCTTAGTTTCTTTTCACAGTATTGAATAGGATACTGCCGAATTCTGACTTTATTTATACGTCATGGATAGTTTTTAGCACACTGTGAAATTATAACATATTTTATATAAATTATGCTTGTTCAAGTCAAAAACTAACACTTTTGAATTCTATACTTAACTGACTATAGTAACAATTTCTGCTCAAGTTAATAAGTGCTCAGGATGTGGAAAATTAAAAGATGTTTTCCTAGAATACATGTTACAGTTTTTCCATTTTACTTTGTTTGGCATTGATTTAACAAAGAAATTTGATTAAATCAATTCATATATAGTACTAAGTATGAAATACCATTTTGATAGTGAAATAGCATTTGAAATGATATTGAAATATCACTTTGAAATATCATTTTTTTATCCAGGAAAGTTAAATGGTAGTAACAGAAAAGCTTAAGTACCGAGCATTTCAAAAGATATACTGGTATGTTTAATGTTTATTCTTATTCTCAAATCCTATTCTTTTTATTTGAATCAGAAAGCAAACAAACTTTTAATTATATTTTTAAACACTTACATGTTTTGTGAACATTGTTTCAAGAAAAATCTCAATTGTAATCACATAGCTGCATAGTAAATCACTATTATACCCAGAGGGACAAGTGATTAAATTAGGTAATTCCTAAGTGTTTTACAGTTGCTATATTGTACTTAAAATCTTATCATTTCATAGTGTTGGCTGCTTACTATATTCCAATTCTGGCCTTAGTAATTTAAAAACAAATATTGGCCAACTTTAGAAAAGTCTAATTGCTCACCATGAAATTTTTTGGTTGGCTAAATCTTAAAGTATTGATATAACCTAAATATAAACTAATAATTTAATTTCCTTAGGTAGAATGTACAGGTGGACTAAGAAACTAGTTTTACGGATCACTGTTTATGAGTTTATCACCATTTATCATCTGACAACAAACATTTATAGGTGTGTCAACTAAGTGGTACCTTTAATTAAACCCTGAGCCCATCTTCATCGGCTCATAGTCCCTGTATTCTTAATTCCCCATCCCGAGGACCCCGACAATGTTCTTGGAATCCCAGTTGATCTTATTTTTATCCATTCAACAAAGATTAAGTTCCTGCTACATGCTGAGAACACAGATGAAAGTATTTTTGGTGTCTTAAAAAAATGTATTAAAATTACACTGTAACGCTAATACACACACTCAGACACAATTTCAGCATCCCAGAAAGAACTGCAATGAGGAGTCACTGAAATTGGGGAAGTGTCCAGTTACAGAGAACAGTACAAAGAATACCACAGCAGCATGAAAATGCTGGATGCTTTCAGTGAACCATTAATAGTTCAGCACAGCTCGAGCTGTAACTAGACAGGATGTGACAGGGCCTACATAGCAATGGGCTTTATACACCAGGTTAAGACTTTTTAGATTTATACTCTACGGCCTTGGTTGTCAGACACTTGTCCTCCTCTGTGGATAATTTTTACATGTGCACTCGACATGTTAACGTGTGCATATGACACACTTCCATGGGCATATATTCTTGTGTAAGTTGTTTGTCTCCCCGCTTGTACACTAGTTACAATTGAAAAAAATTTAGCAGGGAAATGAAGCATGATCAGATTTCTCGTTTGGAAAGATTTCACTGGAGGGGTTAGGGGTGTTGATAAAAACATCAGTAAGGAGGCCACTGTAGTAGACCAAGCCATGTGTAATGAGTATCTGATCTGGGAGTCTAGGAGTGAGGAAAGAGGAAAGAGAATGCATTTGGGAGCTATTTAGAAATAAAAATAAACTAGCAAGACATTTAAGGGTTGGAAATCACCTGATGACAGCACAAGTTATATGTGGTAAGAGAGAATACTAGGGTGATGTCAACATTTTTGGCTTTAGAGACTGGTGGATGGCAACTGCAATCAAGGAGACAGAGAATCAGAAGGAAGAACAGACAGGCTTTGGCAAGGAAACATGAGTCAATGCTTGGGCACATCAAAGAAGTACTCAGCTGATTTCCAGGTGGTGATGCCTCATATGGGTTATATAGATATGGTTCTCAAGAAAAAGCTAGAGATACAGATTGAGAGTCTTTAACCTCTAGGTTAAACCAGAGATTGCCAACATCCATTTGATCATTGAAAAAGCACGAGAGTTCCAGAAAAACATCTACTTCTGCTTTATTGGCTATGCCAAAGCCTTTGACTGTGTGGATCACAGTAAACTGTGGAAAATTCTGAAAGAGATGGGAAAACCAGACCACCTTACCTCCCTTCTGAGAAATATGTATGCAGGTCAAGAAGCAACAGTTGGAACTGGACATGGAACAACAGACTGGTTTCAAATCAGGAAAAGAGTATGTCAAGGATATATACTGTCACTCTGTTTATTTAACTTATATGTAGAGTACATCATGTGAAATGCCAGGCTGGATGAAGCACAATCTGGAATTAAGATTGCCAGGAGAAATATCAATAACCTCGGTACGCAGATGACAGCACCCTTGTGGCAGAAAGTGAAGAGCTAAAAAGCCTCTTGATGAAGGTGAAAGAGGAGTGAAAAAGTTGGCTTAAAACTCAACATTCAGAAAACGAAGATCACGGCATCTGGTCCCATCACTTCATGGCAAATAGATGGGGGAATAATGAAAACAGTGAAAGACTTTATTTTCTTGGCCTCCAAAATTACTGCAGATGGTGACTGCAGCCATGAAATTAAAAAGACACTTGCTCTTTGGAAGAAAAGATATGACCAACCTAGACAGCATATTAGAAAGCAGAGACATTACTTTGCAGACAAAGCTACGGTTTTTCCAGGTTTTTCCAGTAGTCACGTGTAGATGTGAGAACTGGAGTATAAAGAAAGCTGAGCGCCGAAGAATGGATGCTTTTGAACTGTGGTGTTGAAGACTCTTGAACTTCAAGGAGATCAAACCAGTCCATCTGAAAGGAAATCAGTCTTGAATATTCATTGGAAGGACTGATGCTAAAGCTGAAACTCCAATACTTTGGCCACCTGATGTGAAGAAAAGACCTTGATGCTGGGAAAGATTGAATGCAGGAGGAGAAGGGGATGAGAGAGGATGAGGTGGCTGGATGGCATCACTGACTTGATGGATATGAGTTTGAGTTGGTGATGGACAGGGAAGCCTGGCATGCTGCAGTCCATGGGGTCTCAAAGAGTCTGACTGAGCGACTGAAGTGAACCTCTAGGTAATACATTGAAACTAAAAACATGGACAAAGTACTTATGGGTACCATATTGTGTAGAAATCATTAAAAGCACCAACATTTAAGAGAAAAGGGAGAAAAAATTTGAATATAAAGGAGACAGCAAGGTGAACTTGGGAGCTGGAAGTAATAAACTTGAAACATTGATATTCAGAAGCCAAGAGAGGGGTATATTATTACAAAGGAGGGAGGGGACGAGCATCTTAAACATTACAGAAGAGTCAGGTGAGGTAAAGACTAAAAAGCTAGTCCAATGGCAATTAGGTCACTGTGACTTTAGCAGGAATAATTTCATTCTTATTCACTCTTATTCCCTTACATGGCACAAAGAAGAGTTCCCTTAATGTTTTTGTTCAATGAAGAAATCAGTAGTTCTCAATTTCTGTTGTACATTAGAATGAGGTAGGGAGATTTCAAGCAGGATGCCCAAATGATACCCCAGAGCAATTACATGTGACTATCTGGGCTTAGGATATAGGTATCAGTGGTTTTTAAAGATTTCCAGGTGATTTTAATGTGCAGTTAAGCTTTGGAATAAACAAATCCACTCCTCCAAAGCACATGATACTACTGTTTTGTTTAAATGGGTTTATATGTACCTGTTAGCTCCTTCGGGATAAGACAGGAATTGAGTCTAATGTTTTACACTCATGCTGGTATATACAGGTAGAGATTCAAAATTCTTCACTGAATGAATGAATGTTCTGCAACTTTTCAATTTAAAGCCAGGAAAGGAAAAATGATCCATAATTCAAAGACAATGCTTATTTAAAAATTATTAGTAGAATTTTGTTTATTATTGATAATGAAAACTAACGTGACTCTGGGCACACTGCTCTTGGCAACTTGTGAGACCTCCATTCAGAACAATCAATCCGATTCACACCAGGATTGATATCAAATATATTAGGGAAGAACCTCTGTGACAAAGTCAAGGCTAAGCATAAGGCAGTGAGCTGAGACTTGCTTGCTTGAGTTCTTATGAGTATCTATACGTTTAGATTTATAAAATATCTCAAACAGCGTTTGGCACGGTTAAGTATATTTCACATTCTCGAAAATCTGTTAGCAGAATCAAGAGAACCTGTAGTTGTTGCACTGGGAAAAACTGGTTCCCTGTGTACATACTCACTGTACACATAGGAAAACGTATTATCATTTTACAAAGAAAAGCTTAAGCTTCTTGCATACGTGTGGCTGACCTGTTAACTTACTATTAATTTATCGAGGGAGAAGTAGAGGTGAACAGTGCCGATGTAATGGTAACTAACTTGATCTTACAGCTCAAAAAATGGAAAATTCATCAATTTGTAATAAGGAGAAGTCTGGTGTCGCTCACGACACGTGGCTGAAGCTAAGCAGTAGAAAAATCTAAGGATACTGTCTCATGGGAGAGTAGGTCCCACTTATTTCTGTTTCAGTTGTCCTACTTCACCGATTTTCGGCTCTTCCTAATTCTCCCCAGTATTCATTCGTGGCAACCTTCCTCTCCAAGCTTTCACCACTTGCCTTTACTCCAAGAATGCGAAGCAAGGCATGTCGCAGATACAGGTGACATGAAAGTCGCTCAGTCGTGTCCGACTCTTTGCGACACCATCGACTTGTAGAGCCCATGGGATTCTCCAGGCCAGAATACTGGAGTG